AAACTGCATAGAAATAAAAGGAAATGTCACATGACAAGTTAGACCAATACAGGCAAGCTGTAAATTTATTTATTTATTTATTTGCAGCATTTCTACCCCACTCTTCTCACCCCCGAAGGGAGACTCATAGCGGCTAAGATGGACAAGTTATGAACAAGATAGGTTTGTTCTTAAGATGAATTTGTTTGTAAGACAGAACAGGTACAGTTTTAGAGTATAACTCCAGACCAAAAAAAGATATATATTTGCTTTGGAAAGCATAGGGAAGAGTTAATTTTAAACTCATGTCCTGTATTTTGGTCTCTGTCCTGTGTGATTAATGTGTATTTTATAGAAATGATTTATATGTATATTTTATGAAACTGCATTTTAACACCCCTGTGGAGTTTGTTTTGTGATCTGTGCCCCTGTTCAGAAGACTTCACCTCACTTTCTGTAACTGTGATTTTTTTAAATGGCTTGTTATGGAAATAAGGATTGGTGAGAAAGCTTCAATGGAAACACCTTTTCCCCATAATAAGTCTTCCAGGAGTGAATGTGCCTTCCTAGGGGTAGATTTTTCTCACTTCCTCTTATCTCACCCCCGTTCTTAACTATGAGTAATTTGTAAGTCAGATGTTTGAAACTTGGGGACTGCCTGTAGTCCTGTCTGACCTGTTTCAACCTGCCTTATAGTTGGCCATTTCGCACTACATTATTATAGATCTATGACTCCATTTTTATGCTCATGGTTATGTACTATGGAATCCTAAAACATGTATTTGGAGAGAGGACCATCAGAGAGATCCTCTGATGCCTCACTAAACTGCAAATCCCAAAAACTGCAGGATGCAGCTATGGCCGTTAAACCAAGGTCATTGGGTAGAATTATGAAGTGTAAGAGCAGCTGGTAGAATATTCCCCTAAATACTTTCTTCATGAAATTCTTTCAACTAGAGATAAGGAAAGTGCACTGGGGCCTTTATGTACAAAACATTGATAATTGTCAACAGAGTTAAAGAAAACAGTTGTATTTTTTGATTGAAATAGAATTGTTTACTGGTTCCTTTAGAAGTTTTTTTTTGCCACCAATCTAGAAATGTGTTAAACAACAAAATCTATCGCAGAAACAAACAGATTATGCAAAATATGGGAGAAAGCGCATTAAACGTCTTCTCAGAACTCATTTACATCACATATGCTTTCTTCAATTTTTTTCTGTTAGCTCAATGCATAAGGTTGAAATGGGAAACTTTTGGCCCTCCACATGTTTTGGCCTGGAGTATCACAATCCCTTACTATCATTCATGCTTTCTGAAGACTCTGGGAATGGAAGTCCAAAACATCTGAAAGGGGAAAGATTCCCTACCTCACCATAAAGTATTTAAAAACTATAGATTCCAAACCACAGCCATATAGCCCATTGCTGAGACATAATCATATTAGAAAGGTGCTAAGTAAAAAAAAAACCTGATATTTCCTAATTTAGAACAAACACAAAGCACACATCTGTGAATTCCTCACTGGTTTCATATTTGTATGTTCCACAGGCATGAAAAAATGGCACTAAATTGATTCTCTGCAGATCTAATGCAGGGTTTGTTTTGTCCACACTAAAATGTGGTTAGCATAATGCTATAGTCCCAGTGTGCTCCCAAAGAAAATTGTGTCTATAATTTTGTTACGTGCAATGCAGCTTGCCCAGACAATTATCAAAAATTTGCTGTTATGTGCTTGTTCACAAATACATTCAACCATCTGCCAGCCTGCCACTGCATCAGTAAAAAAACATCTACACACCTGCTAGATGTAAAGAATGTGATCATTCTCAAGGCATCTCATGGATCAGATAAGAGGCTCTACTTCCAATCCTAAGATTCTACTAATGTATCCCAACAACCGTTTTTATTACTTTGAGAGGAAAGGAATTGCCTAGTATTTCCCACATAACTGAATCTAATATTAAACAGTTCACTCAAGTTGATGAACATGCATTCAGAACCATGACCACCACCTTTCAATAACATTGATGATGCTTGAGTTCAGGTTTTCAGAAGATTTGATTTCCTGCCTTGCTTTAATATATGCTGTTCAAGAAAAGAGCAAACCTGATCTTCCATCAAGTGGTCTGTTTTCAAGAGCTCCTCTGTCTCCTCTATCATTCTTCTGTTCCTTTGCATATCTTTGCCTGTCTTTATACATTGAATAAAGGATTTTGACAAATCACAGATGAGTAACCATATATGCCAAAAATGGTGATAACCAAAGTATTGGAGCAATAGTCCCAATACTTCTTTCTCCTAAGGCTGCATGGTGAGATGGAACTACATATGTGGGTGGTATAGCTACTCTAGACTCAACCACTGTGTTGGTGGGTGCACAGGCAGTATAGACTCTCTGTTAGAAAAGCTAAGGATGGTGGTGAGTTCTAAGAGGAAAGGCACTTGGTGCCTTGTTAACTCCCAGTCTTTTGAGTCAAGTATCAGGCAAACCCACAAATTACTCCCTGCATTTTCATCTTTGCCGGGCTCCAAACTATCCAGAATTCCTGTTCATCTTAGCTGTTGCCTTTCTTCTGTAGTTTTGGTTTAACATTCTTAGACCCATTTCCAGCTTCTTCCTGATTTTGCTCAACTTTCATTTCTTACACACAATCCCAACTGTCTTGGTGTGCTTCCACCTGTGCAATAGTCACCTTAGCTTGTAGGCTCCATAACTGTAAGCTCTTAAGCGGTTTCTGCACAATTTAACGTCTTTGTGCACTCCAGTTGATTGCCAAGAAAACGATTAACTCCTCTCTCCATTGCTTTTCTATTGGAAACACTACTACTAAAAAGGCACATCAAAAAGCTTGTGCTTTAAAACTACTGAAGCAGTCTACATCCTAACTTCATATTTATGTCAGGCTGCTGCAACCATTCAGTTAGCACTGCAGTATCTACAAATGTTTTGGAAGCCCATAATACACCTCACATCAAAAACCAAGACATAAAATATGAAAGGTTCATATATTGGGCATTTTTATGCTCATGACAAGAATATTAGAATGGATTTGTGCCTAAGCACACCCCTGTCTTGGTTCCAGCCCCTTCTCATTCTCTCTCTCCCCTACTATATTGACCAGTCTGGGTTTTTAATCTGAAAGTTACATATTCATGCTTGTCATTTGGCAAACAGTCAAATGCACTTAACAGGCATCATCATCAGTGAAAATGTTGGTTTAGCTTCAGCAGAAACAATGCATTGTGCATCGTGCATAGAATACTTGGAAAAAGACTGTGGATCCTTAAAGATTACTTATAGTATATATTATACAGGATATGATATAGTATAATATGAACCAGATATAAAATGCCCAGCTCAAACAGAGTTTTAAAAATGCATATCTTTTGTATATAAACATGATATAACTAACAATTTAGCTTTTATGGATAACATTATAAATCGAAGTTTATTGTTGAGCCCAGTTTTTCCTCTCCTACCTGCAAGGAAGCATTACTTCTTATGCCTTTCTAAAACAACCTATTTCAACACTGAAATAAATGACAGCTGCAATCTTTGTGCATTTGCTGCTGAGTTAGCTCAATTGAAGTCTATAGGTTCCACTTTGATTAGGATTGCATTGTAATTTATGCTTGCTTTATCCTGGTCAAAACACTCAATGTACAACATTTAAATCAGTTTTAGAAATCAATTTAGATTTTGATTCAGTTAATTTCATAGATGTCAATTGTTTTCTTTTAGAAAGCATGTCCGTATCATAAGGACAACCAGTTCTATGTGTATTTGCTTGAAAGGAAGACTTGCAATTCATGCACACTTACTTGTACATGTGCATTTGTGAACTCAGTGATAATGGTTTAAGAATAAACCTGTGTATGATTGTGCCACCACACTCAGTGGGACACAATCCCAAGTAAAGGAGCCTAGGAGAGCAGCTTTATCTTTTCTGTGAACCGTTCCAGAATTTTGCAAAGTAGAAAATTCCATGTTCTGTGTGTGTGTGTGATGAATTGTAAATAATTGCTTCCATTTGAGTGATTCCATCATAAAACCAAAAAAGAGCAGTGTGAAGATGGTTTCAAGTACATATATACTTATAGAATCCTTTCAAACACCAATCAAAAGTCTGCACCTTGGATGGAAAGGATTTTTGCATGAATAAACATTGATCTCACTGTAAATAACAGATTTGTTGATACACAAAAATCAGATGAAACATTTCTGTCAACTCTCTTCACTGCAACAAACTATCATTCCTTCGCCACACCTCTGATATGTATGCATGTGCTCCAACTGCAGTAAGGTGAACACAAAATGATGAGAGAGCTTATTTCTTACTGTTAACAGATCAATTCGCATCAGTCAAGACTATTCACAAAGTGACAGGGCCATCAATAAAACTTCAGCCTTCCGCTCTACCTCTGAGCTATCTCAGCTACCAAAAACATTTTCAATTAAGAGCCACCAGCAAGCCAACTGCACTCCATTTCATTCCAACTTGGCTCCCCTATCTATCCATACAAGTGATCTGACCTTACAGCCAAAGTGACTGACAAGACAATTCAAAATCCCAGTGGCCAATGAATTGATTGTTGTGTACAGAAAATGTAAGAAATAATCAAACAGGTTGGTACACCTGTGCTCTGCTCTTCTGACTGTCATTGTGGAAAGTACTACCAAGCATGACCAACTTGTTCATTCTGCTAATATTCATATTTAGAAGCCTTGCAGACCATGCAGTCCCTAGTAAAGTGGGAATGCCTATACAACTGTTGTTCAAGTAATACATAAAAAAAGAACAAATACCCATCTTCCTTTCTAGAAACAAATTAATCCAGCAGTATACCATGACATCCTAAACATGTGGAATGACCACATTGTCCCAGATATGAATAATTGACACATAGATCAATGGTAAACAGAAAGATGATAGATAGAAGATAGGTAGAAAGATAGAAAGATGATAGATAGATACTAGATAACCAACACAATCTGCAACAATATTGATTTGTGCATACCTTGATCGTCTTGGAAGACTGACATTTTACCTGGTGGGACACTGTTGCAGTTTGGTTCATGTTTCAGCACCCAGAACAGCACAAATCCCACAAGGTGTAATAGAGCAAGCCGTTAGAAATCTGTTCTTCCTTTTCAGATTTCTGCTGTTGCTCCTTTTGCAAGAGTGCTTATGTCTAGAAGCTGGGATGCCGTCAGATTTCTGTGAATCTCTCTCAGCTTTAAAGTCAAATATGCATTTGATTCATCCTTCTGCACGTTTTTGAAGCCTTTTTCTGCTTGCAGAGAGCTCAAATCCTGTTTCCATTCACTTGCACTGCACCTCTCCAGCACTAAGAATGTGACAGCACCTCAGCGCAGCCAACGATCGCTCCATCCCTTTGAAAAGAGCAGAATACCAGCAAACTGCATCAGTATTTACTGCAGCCCAGTGGCTTAAAGAAGCACACCCTTTCCTTCCTCGCATTTGATCTAACTCAGGTTGTCATGATATGCTAGCCTTTCTGTTGTAGCATAAACATAACAGGCACATACACACAGAGAGAATGTAATGTAATCACATTAATTTCCATACATTAAGATGGTTATTGGGAGGTGACTGACATCCATGCAAAGTGTTAGAAAAAGCTTTCCAATTTTCTTCATCAAATACTGGCTATCTGTTAAATCATTTTCAGTAAAATTAGAAGGAAACCACCTTTTCTTCTCTTACATTATGCATAGTAAGCATTGTGTACATTATGTGATGATCACCTGTCCATTCCTTAGGAAAAGGGAATACTTTGACTCTCTCTCCAAATGAAGTCCTCAGTTCATGAAGTGGACATTAATATGTCACACTTTTGATCCTGCTCACTAGGAACAACCATTCAGATACATTTTAGATGTATGCCAATCTCCAAAACTTGTCTGAACAATGAGAACAGGAGCCATTTCTCTCACGTGCCTTCCGCTGGCCATAGCATCACTTCTGTTGAATACAGGCTACATAAAGTGAAGCAAAATTGGGGCTGGGCTTTCCTTAGGATGGGTTGGAAAAAGTATGATCCCATGGCCCAAATTGTATGGCCCCACTTACAGAAGCCCCATGCACCTATCTTCTGTTTGTTTGTTTGTTTGTTTTTACACAAAAGGATAGCATAGCTTGGGGTAAAATTTTCACCCTGAAACCACAAAGAAAGCCTACTAAACAACCAAAAATTACAGCTCACTGGTCCACCCCCAACATAATCAAGAAGCCGCCACCACAGATATCCCTGTTTTCATTGGACATTCTCTCAAAATAACAACATAAAGTGATGCAATCTTATATCTGGTCAACATTTAAAGATGGAAATTGAAGGACACATAGATATTCCAAGAGGGAATCTTTAGGAAATTTGGTCATTCCCATGTTAGCATGTCTAATTTTCCTTTGGCAACCTGCTCCTTTTGCTGCTACACATGAAAGTGAAGAGGCGTGAAAATGATGAGTTGAACATATGAAAACAAAACAATAATATCAAGAAAGCCTCAACATATAAAGTAGAAAATCATACATTTATTAGAGGACCTGAAAGCTATTTCTCATGTGGTTCATGAAACTTTCCATTTTTATTCCAGAGGGTATCTGAATCCAGTGCTATTAATTTCCACTGGTGTACATATAAATAAATATTTGTGTCACTTGATATCCAGGTGAAAACCTAACTAATCAGGTAACAAAAGACTTAGGCAACACCCCTGGAAAACAATGGAATGTAAGTTGCCCCTCTGATTTTATTGGATCTGCTGTAAACACTACTAAATCTGGATGAAACCCAGGAATCATAAGAACTGAAGCAGTACTCACATTTCCAAATATGATCTTGATTCTGCTTTTAGCCCTGAGCCCACTTTGTAAATGCCAAAATGCTACATTGGTAAATCTATCCTCTGTGTCAGTTCAGATTGAAAATGCCACAGGAAACTGACTGAACACCAATTTTACCCACTCTGGCATCAGAAGACCTTGATATACAGTAATCAGTCTGACATGGACTTTGACTCCTGGTTTTAATCTTTGCACTACTGCTGACAGTATTGAAAGAAGAGACCAAGGAGTTAGAAAGAAGAGTCTATAATCTCCCTCAGACTCTAAGAATGAGCTCCACACTCACAGCAGCAAGCTACAAACTAAGCCCTAAACAGTTTGGGACTTGTCTACCTACGTGACCGCATCTCCGTATGTGAACCCACACGATCTCTTCTATCATCTGGAGAGGCCCTGCTCACGATCCCTCCTGCATCGCAAGCACGATTGGTGGGGACGAGGAACAGGGCCTTCTTCGTGGTGGCCCCCCGACTCTGGAACTCTCTCCCCAAGGACATCAGACAAGCCCCAACATTGGCAATCTTTAGGAAGAGCTTGAAGACGTGGTTGTTCCAATGTGCCTTCCCAGAATAGGAAACTCCAAGCATTATGTCCCAAATGCACTTCACTAGAGATTTAAGATTGTCTGCACGCTGCACCCATCTCCAAAAACCTACCTATTTCACCTGTCATATCCAGCATTTTAAAATTTTTAATTATTACATTTGGCCCGACCTTAGTTTTAAATGCGTCGTGGTGTTATTGTCTAATGTTTATTGCTATTGTTTTAATGTTTATTGCTTGTTTTATGAGTTTATTGTTGTATTTGTTATTCTGTTGTTTTATTGATATGTTGGACCTTCGCCTCTTGTAAGCCGCACCGAGTCCTTCAGGAGATGTTAGCGGGGTATAAACAAAGGATTATTATTATTATTATTATTATTAAGCTGCAAACACAGGGCCAGAACTCTATAACAAACAAGAATGCCAAACTCCATCCTCTTGCAACATTATTATAGGCTCTCACAACATTACCTTCAACATCAGAGTTGTTTTACTTGCTCCTGTTTGAATGACTAGTTGCATGATCAAATGCTGAATGAGATAATCCAGTTCAGTGGTATGTAAGTATATAAGATGTGGACTCCATGAACAAATTGACCAATAAGAAGAGGTACATGATGAGGGAAAACACAAGCAGACAGATTCCTAATAAGTGGTTTTTGTCTTTATATTTCACATCTATATTTATTTATTTTTAGTATGACATCAAGTTCTTTGGAAATGACCTGATTTTGGTATGAATTCTATTGGATGGTTAACTCTATACCAACTGATGTGCCAATATTCAGATTTCTACTTATTATGTATGCACTGTATGCACTTTTTCTTTTGTTTAGTTTCCTGTTCTTATTTCTTTGGAAAATTACAATAGAATCAAGGAAGGAAGGTTTGGGCAGAGTCTAGAAAGCAGAAATGTAAATGTGCTGTTAGATGTACTAAGAATCTTGGCAAGAAGACAGGTCAGTCCCAAAGAGTGCACATAAAAGATGCTTGATGTGTGGTCCAGTAGAGCTCTGGCCAAAAGACTAGACAAGGAAATACCAAAGGGAAACCAGATGATATAATTCTGACATGTCCTTGCCTTGCACACACCCTCTCCTAGAGATAAAAGCTAGGTACTGCCTTCTTCCTGAACTAGAAAAACATCATTCCAAATTTAACAAACTGTGGCATTCAGTATTTGAAGCCAGTGAAATTCATTGCAAAGAGTTTGAATAGATCTAAGTATGCACTGAATTTTATGAGAGCCAATAAGAACTTTATAGTTATCTTTATGCCCTGTTTCATGCATTTGAAAAACTGATTTTTTTCCTGTGCAAATTCACACATATACCACAAAAGGGCACCTACATTAGACACTTCAAAGCTGTCAAATAAAATTCACCTTCAAACAAAAAAGCCCGAGAGCAGAGAAAGATATATGGAACAATCAATAACTTGCTGGCATTGTTTTTTGGATGGACTTCTACAAAATGTTAATTTATCTATCCCCAGCAAGCATAAATTTCACTGATTAACCTCTCAGTCTTCTTTGATCTAACCTAATTACAGTATAAGTCTAACAAGGGTGATCAGGAATGATAATGACTCTTTAAGTGCACCATTTATCATCATAAGACATTATACGAACAATTCCAGTCAACAGCACGGGATCCCAAAAGCTCCACTACTCACTACAATGCTCTGCAGGACTGTTGTAGTGCAGTGTTGTGTAATAGTGCAATGCAATTCCCTGCTATACTTCTTCCTTTCTTTCAGGCAGCTTCTTAATCCCCTCTTCTGTGTTTAATCCTCTTTGGTAACTAGACACTTAGCTCAATTCAGTTCTTAACATGACACCTTGCATGGTCCCTGCTAATGTGTGCATTGCTGTTTGCTTCCCCCAGAAGGAGAAAAAGGAAAGATTAAAGCATCTCATAGCCTCCAAAATACAAAATAAATAACAGGAGATTCCAAAAATGTTTTAGAGGGAATACAAGCGGCCACAGACAGATGTCCAATTTTCAAATCCAGGGCAGTATTATGGCAAGGGATCAAAATGATTGTACTGCCCTCCAGCACAGTTGATGGAAGCCTCATCTCTTTAGAGAAGGAAGAGCTGTGGAAATGTAATAAATAAAGCCAAAAAAAGTTGAATAGTCTGTTTAACTATTGGTCAAGTCAGTGGTCAAGTCTGTTTAACTTGACAAAGGGGTCAAGAACAACTAAGAAACTATCATCTGCTTGGAGGATAATGTTTCCAAAACATATATTATTAAAAGCCCTGCAGTTAAAACACATCAACAGCAACTCTAGGATACTAATGCCATGATTGCAGTCATCTAATTAGAGAGGCTATTCCCCAAAGCGCTTGATCATTATCCAGATCTTCCAGTATCCTGCTGTTAATATTCCAATCCCCAAAATTGTTCCCTTGCCACACATCTTTCCCTCATCCAGATTGCCAAAGCTATATGTGCTTCCTTACCAAAAGCTGCCAAAGGACTTAAAAAAACAAACAAACTCCTCAATTGTAATATCCTAATAGCTGTGAGAGCAACAGAGAGGAGCAAACTAATATCCTAAACTCTTGATAGTTGAGAGAACCCAAGGGATGCTTGTTCTCGCTTTTTGCTTTCCTTTGACAACATGCGCTTAAGCAATATTTTCCCTTTTTTTAATGCTTTGCATGCATTCTGTGAGCTGGACCATAGATTCACTAACAACTGGCAACAACTAAGATCAACAGACTGACTTCTAATTAGTATTAAGTGGGGGAAACAGTCTTTATGAACAAGCTTACAACAACTTTCTTGGTTGATGGGTAACTCTCTAGGGGAATGAAGGGAGACCTAGCTGACTTAAAAGTGGCAGAAAATAGCAAAATTCAGGGTTCCTATAGTCTGTACTGGAAATAAAACTGTGACTGGTTTGCATCCCTTCATAATAAAAGTCAATCCTGTAATTGCATTACTGTAAGATGGAAATGGGAATATTTAATTGGGTTTTTCCCCCCAAAAAAGTTAT